ACAGAAATGCTAAAAAAGGAACTACAAAGGTGAGATGCCTTAAAAAGAAAAGAAACCCAAGGGTTATTTCTGGAGTTCTCCACAAACAAAAGTTAAAGAAATATCAGTAGATCAGATAGCCAAATGGCAGAATGCTAAGTACAAAGCATTGGAAAATGTGCTAACAAGATGAAAGAATAAAGTTTCAAGTAGAAACAATGACAAGATACAACACAAGAATGGAAGAAACAGACACAAAATGGTACACTATTGAATGAACAGAGAAGTGAGTTTTAGGTAAGGAAAAGTGGTCAGTAATAAGATGATACCTGTAATAATATAACTAATGACAATAAACAACATTTACCAGTGAGTGGGTCAAATATTTTTTATGCCTTATTTCAAGTAATCATTGTAGTATCTTCTGAGACAGGGTTATCATCCTTTCTTTTTCACAGAAGCAAAAAAAATCTTAGGAAATGACTAATATAAGTTCACAGAGGTAGGAACAACAGAGTCTGATTCAAATCTGGGTCACTTGATTTGAGTGTTCAAGTTGCTCACTATATTATACTGCTTCCTCTCATCAAAAGATGGAAGCAAAAGTTGGGCTTGGTGGCTCACACATGTAATCCAAGTTACTCAGGAAGCTAAGATCAGGCAGATGGTAGCTTGATGCCAGTCTAGGTACAAAGCTAGTAAAACCATCATGCCACTAATAAAAAGCTGACTGAGTTGGAATGTGCCTGTTATCTCAAGTACATGAGATGCATAAAAAGGAGGATTATGGTCCAAGCAGGATTGGACAGAAAATGAGAATCTAAAGTAACTAGTGCAAAAAGGGCTCAGATGCAGTTTAAATGGTATAACACCTGCAAGTGTAAGGCCCTAAGTTCAAACCCAGTACCACTACCAATAATAATAATAATAGTAACAACAATAATAAATAAAAAGATGAAAGATTTTTTTTAAAAAGCTGTAGGACTTAGTGATGAGGAAGTCATGGACAAACCATTTCAGTAGACAAAGACAAGGAATCATGTTTCCAAAGGTTAAAGAAACAACAGCCCGATTAACAAATGGGCTAAAGACTTGAAGAAAGACTTCTCTGAAAAGGAAATAAGAATGGCCAATAAACAAGTTGTAAAAAAAAAAAAAAAAGAAAAAGAATGGCCAATAGACACATGAAGAAATGCTCAGCCTCTCTAGCCATAAAAGAAATGTAAATCAAGACAATGCTGAGATTCCACCTCACCCCAGCTAGAATGCCTATAATCAAGAAATTTAATGACAACAGATGCTGGAGGGGATGTGGCCAAAAGGGAACCCTACTGCATTGTTGGTGGGAGTGCAAACTTGTTCAACCACTCTGGAAAGCAGTACAGAGGTTCCATAGAGCTTCCTTATGACCCAGCAATCCCACTTTTGGGCATTTACCCAAAGGATCACAAATAAGGTCATACCAAAGCTACCAGCATAACAATGTTTATCGCAGCATTATTTACCATGGCTAAGATATGGAATCAACCCAGATGCCCCTCAGTAGATGAATGGATCAAGAAAATGTGAGATAGATAGATAGATAGACAGATAGATAGATAGATATAGATATATAAAAATTCTATACCTCTATCAGATAAAATGACATTGCCTCTTTTGTTAGGAAATGGAAAGACTTGGAAAAAAAATCATATTAAGTGAAGTAAGCAAAAAAAAATAGGTCCCATAATTTCCCTTGTTTGCAGTGACTAGTACATGTCTAGGACAAGCAGAGTAGGTCAAAGGCTATGTACATACAACTGACCATATGAGATTATGTTAAGCAAAATGTACCTCAAGACAGGGACACAAGAGGTTTTTTCCCCCCCTCTTTTTTGCTAGTGGTTTTAATGTACTTACAATACAGTATGTGATTCTTTTGTTTCTATTGTATGTTCTTCCCCCATGGTATAACCCCTGTTTTCACCGGATTTGATGCTGGTGCTCTGAACCTTGTATATATATTTTTGTAGTTTGGGGAGGGGAAGGGATATTGCAGAATGCTTAAGTGAGGATGCAGGCTGACCCATTGGGACGATGAGATGTACAGGACAGTATATTGAAAACGAACCTTACAAGGTCGGGGTTGGAGGGGGGGTGCAGGAGGAGTTGGGGAAGTGGGGAGGGAAGTAAGGGTAGGGGGAAAATAAAGGAAGAGTTAACAATGCTCGCTATGAAATGTACTCATTACCATACTCATGTAACTATAACCCCTCTGTATAACTTTTTTACAATAAAAAAATTAAAAAAAAAAGGTTATAATGTGGCTCATGCCTATACTCCTAGCTACTCAAGAAGCTGAGATATGAGGATCGAGTTTCAAAGCCAGTCTGGGCAGGAAAGTCCGTGATACTCTTATCTCCAATTAACCACCAGAAAACTGGAAGTAGAGTTGTGATTTAAAGTGGTAGAGTGCTGGCTCTGAACAAAAAAAGTTCAGACATAGTGCCCAGGCCCTGAGTTCAAGCCCCACGACTGACCAAAAAAAAAAAAAAAAAAAGTTTCAATGCCAGTGAGTAGTAGCATTCTGATTATTTCAAATATAAAAATCGGATCATAAAAAATATGTTGAATGAACAGCTCAGTTTTGGAGTTAAGAGATAAGAAGACTAGAAAGCAGAGATTGGCAAAGGATAGGCCATTCTGGGAATGTTTTCATAAGTAAAGTTTTGATGGACAGCCAACCTCATCATTTACATACTGTGCATGGTGCTCCCCTCTTATTGCCACCCCCAGCAGCAAAGCAGAGATGAATGACTGCAGCAGAAACCTTGGACGGTGAAGATTAAAATATTTACCATAAAGCCAGGCACCAGTGTCTCATGTCTATAATCCTAGCTACTCAGGAGGCTGAGATCTGAGGATCACGGTTCAAAGCCAGCCCAGACAGGAAAGGCCGTGAGAGTTTATCACCAATTAGCCACAAGAAAACCAGAAGTAACTCTGTGGCTTAAGTGGTAGAGTGCTCCCCTTGAGCTGAAAAGCCAAACTATTTGTCATAGGCTTTTTTACAGAAAAAGTTGACTGTTTGTAAAGTGAAAAAGAAGGAATGAAAAGCAGAGGGAAAATGTTGTCTTATATAAAACAAAACAAAACAAGACAAAAAAAAACCCTTTCCTAATCAAAGTCCATAGGCAGAAACACACAGAGATAGCTAGGGGACTTCCATGCCGCATTCTGCACATTACAGCACACTAATTCCTTTGGTGCCACCTGACAATAAGCCTGGCTATGGGGTTGGCTGGGCCTCTCTTCCCAGAGCCTGTTCTTTCTGTATTCCTGTTCCTGAAAACTTCAAGGTAAGTGTTCCCTAAAGCCGTGGAAATGATTCAAGTCTAGAAATAGCTAATCATAAAATCCGAAGAAATCCCAAAATGAAAAAGGTGGTACTAGTCCTAACCACTTAATGACAAACAATTCAGAACAATGCCACCCAGGTAAAATTCAACATCCACACACTTCCCCTGTGTACAATTTCCTTTTGGTTGAGAAGATGATACTTAGTTTCAAAGATAAGCATTAAAGATTGATACAGGATCTTTTTTTTAGATGGGCAAAATCCCCTCTGAATGAAGAGAAAGTTAGAAAGATAGTGGATTAAGAAAGAAGCCTGCACTTTGCTTTCTCATAAAAGAACACAAGAAAAATATTCATATGTAACATTTCGGCACTCTCATTGTTTTTAATGTTTAAAACACTAAATCTGGGAAATAATAGTAAACCATAAAGTGCTAGGTGAATATCAGTCCCTTGCAGGAAATAAAAATTTGATTTTTTTAAGATACTGATAAAGTAAAAAAAAGTGTTTTCTTTCCCCAAAGTTCTGCTGCTTCACAAATATTCATAACTTTGTTTTTTGCTCAGTATCTATTGCTTTACTTTTCTTCATTTGGATAATATATATTGACATAAAACATTGACACACTAGTGAGAACTCTAGCAAACTAGAACTCATTGAGTCATATTCGCTAAGATAACTGGAGTTAACATGTGGGTGAAAGCCCTTTCACAAATCTCTATGCCTATGTAAGCAGTCACCTTGAACAGTTTTAGTTACCAGGAATGCTAATATTTTATTACACATAACTTTCACATTCTCAAGGAAAAAAATGAAATGACACCTATACAAGAAAAAAGAATAGTATAAATTATACAAAGTGATCTAAAATGATCCCCCAAAAAAATCCCTGCCAGTCAATTTCTTTCATCTGTAGAGATAAATGATTATTCTGGTGGCTGCCATCTTCAGTTTTAATAGCAGACATCTCTTTATCTTTCATTTATGAATTATCAAAAGTATCAGCTGAAGTCAGGCACTGGTGGCTCACACCAGTAATCCTTACTACTCAGGAGGTTGAGATCCAAGAATCACAATTCAATGCCAGCCCAGGCAAGAAAGTCCCTGAGAGTCTTTACTACCAACTAACTACCAAAAAGCTGGAAACAGAGCTATGGCTCAAAGTGGTAGAGTGCTAGCCTTGAGCACAAAAGCTCAGAGACAGCACCCATATCCTGAGTTCAAACCCCAGAGTTGGCACCAAAAAAAAAAAAAACAAAAACAAAAAAAACCAATAGTAATGATTCCATAAACGCTAAGTGACACATTTAATGTACTTGAGCTAGCACTCACATTTAATCTTCAACTCCCAACTTGTTTTCAATACTTTTATAATACCAAGACTTCAAAAATTTACATTTGTAATGTAAAAATAATTCATTTCCCCCTCTTCATCTAGGCGTATATTAACATTTAAAACCCTTTAAGACAGTTTCAAAGTTATAATTGCTTGGGTCTAGGCAGGACCATGATCCTCCTATTTATTCTTCTGTGTAGCAGGGATGATAGGCACACAATACCATGTACTGTCATTTGTAGAAGCCATTTTTCATAGTCTCATCAGGAATGACTCAAATGATATGTCAATTACCCTTATCTGGCTCAGATAAGAGTGAGCAGGAGGAAGTAGCAGGTGCTTCCTTACCTGCTGGGTGGTGCTGGTGACTATCCCCTGCTGGAGTCGGTAAGCCTGCTCTTGAAGGTACTTTCTGGTCTCGTGATTCCGTAGCAGGTAGTTTTCTATCTGGAAATTAACCACATGTATCTCTCAAGAACACATTTGGACTCCACAGGAAAAAAAAAAGTTACTAGTGAAACAGTCAGTTCCTGGATGCAAAACTCAAGCACTGATAGGCACTCTCTACCAATACCTTGACCCAACAAAAACCAAGGGAGGAGGAAAGCCAGGGTTTATTACCAGTGTTTTTACTTAGAAAATTAACTTCTGGGTAATTGGAGAAATGTCTGCATGATTCTGTAGCTGAGGAAGGGTTTCAAATGCCATGTAGTGACTTCTCCTCATCAACAAAGACCTCAATCTTGAATTTTTAACTACCAAGCAGTTTAGAAGCTAAACAAATATCCCCAAGGATTCCTATATTTGATTGGTACTATCCAAAAAGAAAATCAGAAAATTCTTTATTGGAGACAGGAGGGGAAGAAGAGGGAATGGGGTGGTAGATGGGGAGAAATAGATCTAATAAGATTATAGGCTGGTACCACTCAAAGATAAATACTAATCTTAATAATCCATCTGTTTATTGTTTTCTTAAAACAGCACTAATTTTTTGAAATTACAGCAAATAAAATGGATTTGTACAGAAAATGAGGGATCTTGAAGTTGTTTGACAATCTGTATGTTTATACACACTCATAAAAACTGAACTTAAAGTGATAACTAGATTGATAGAAAGCATCTAAAAAGAATAATATATAATGGGTACGCATTGAGCAAAAAATACAGAGTTAACTCTTCAGAATAAGATACCCACAAAGATATTTTACCAAGAATAATTTGAGATGCTACGTTATACCATCTGCTTCTCCCCCTACCCCACCATCTTATTGTTTTTGGTTGCTTTTAATAAGACTGCTTAACCATTTTGCTTTTAATTTGTTTCTGCGGCCCCTTGGTTAAAAACTTTTAATAATTGTGATGTTCTCATTATTGTTACATGTTAATTCTCATTTTCAATATGCTAAAATGACTGCTACTTAATAGCAATTAGAAACAATTAAAATAGGAACTGTAATTACTATTATCCCTGGAAACTATAAAGCAGAGCAAAATGTACCTTTCTACAAACATAAGTGAGGAAATTTATAAAAATGAAAAGACCCTCCAAATGAATAATTAAAATGACACATTAATGCCTTGACATTATATTACATTAACTTTCTCTTGCTGCTTCCCAAGAAGTCATCTCTTTCCAAGGTGACTCCACCATCAGCAGAAAATGTTTTGCTAGAAAGACTGTGAAATACATGGCAGGCATGTGTCCACCTGCTTGGGGTATTGTAATATATTCCTCTGTAATATATTCCTCCTCCTGATTCTCACCCTTAGCAGGAGGGTGGTGGAGAAAAGGGAGAAATAGGGGGCCATCAGTTGTCCAGCTGTCCTTACTCTAGGCCAGCTGAAACTCTGATGAAGTACTTTCCCACAAAGGCAAGTATCCATCATGTAGAACCAGATACCCTGGATGTATTTTAAAATGATTACTTCTCCCCAACTTCCTGCCAGAAACCTAAGGGAAATTTTTCTACAGAAAAATCTATACTGTGACAGCCACATGGGATTTCTGGAAAGAAAATTCATGAAAGGATTGGAGTCTTCGTAAGAAATGGGCCTCTAGGAAAAGAGAGAGAGAGAGAGAGAGAGAGAGAGTGTGTGTCTGTGTCCCCATCCACGTCCAGTCCCAGGGAAATGGGCCTCTAGGAATTGTTTAAGTGTGTGTGTGTGTGTGTGTGTATGTGTGTGTAATTGTTTGTGTGTGTGTGTGTGTGTGTGTGTGTGTGTGTGTGTGTCCCCATCCTCGTCCAGTCCCAGGTACTATCCCTGAGCTTTTGTGCTCAAGGCTAGCGCACTACCACTTGAGCCACAGCTCCACTTCTGACCTGGAGGTGTTTAATGGGACATAAGCATCTCAGGTTTTTCCTTGCTGGCCTAGCTTTGAACTATGATCCTTGGATCTTCTGAGTAGCTAGGATTACAAGCATGAGCCACCAGTGCCGGGCAAATTTTTTAACCCTTAAACCAGTCCATAATAAACACCCAGCATTTTATCACATAATGTTTAAGTGTCTTGGAATTACTGATTCTACAGCTTCTGTTCCTGAAAAGCTGGCCTCAGCTATGAGTCAGTAAAGATCTTATTTGTACTCTCTTTAGTTTTCAGGGTGACTGGTAATCTAAGAAATGTGTTGATTTTCTGGTTTCTTCAGCTTTTTTTTTCCCTAGTTGTAAGTGGGAAAGTGATTACTGTTAAGCAAATCTGAAACCAGAAACCAAGTTTTTCTAAAGTATGTCTTTTATTCTAAGCTGGCTAAAATCCCTTCAGAAAGATCAAAGACATCTAACATTTGTATGTTACTTTGTCTGATACTTATGTGACTATAGGCAAATTACTCTCCCTGCAGTTCAGTATCCTTATCTGCAGAAATTGGGATGTGACACAACCCACCTCATGCGCTACCTAAAGAATGACATGTTAATTTATGAGAAGCATGTAAAACAGTGCCAGGCACCCATATGTTAAACCATGTTAACCATCTGCTAAGCATAATAATGGCTTAGCTTTAGTTTTCCTATTTCTACAGATGAAAAAAAAAAAACTGAAGTTCAGAAAAATCAAGTAATTTATGGAATGCTACAAAGCTGGAAATAGTTTGTTTTGAAGTTAGATCTTTTGAATCCAAATCATGGATGATTTCTTATGTCATACCAGCAATTCCACCACCCCATCTTATTTCTTTTCATTTAACAAATGTCCAGGAAGTACCTAAGCATGCATTCCAGGCACTGTATTAGCTGCCAAGAATTAAAAATGTGAAAAATACATAAGCTCTGCCTTCAAGGAATTTTTGGTCTGTTGGAGGGGAGGAGGAGGAAGGTGAAGGCAGATAACTTAAAACAATGTCCTAAGGCCAATAACATAGAGAAACATGAGGAATCCTGAGAGGAGTGTCCTCCTCAGGAAACAGGGTGCTGTGTGAAGTGTTTTTGGATGACCAGACAATTGATTTCAATCCCAACAGACATGCATGCTGATGTGGAAATTCTCAACAGTGGCTACACTATAGAACAGCTCTCACAATCAGGAAAGCTGCTTTGAACAGATTTGCTAAATCCTACTCTGTTTTTGGGGTGCTGGGATTTGCATTTCTGAGTTCCATAAGGTAGAATAAAACTGAAGTTAAGAGTTGGTAAGAAATGGAGTGGGAGGTGGAGAGAAAGCAGATCTTGGGCAGAATTCTCTAAGCTAAGGAGACTCGGAAGGAGGGAATAATGCTTTTAGTCTGCTCAGATTTATACTGAAAGTTTCTTTACCACAACATAGAAAAGAGACAAGAGGAGCCAAATGTGGCAATGGTCATGGTGAGAAATGGTAAGATTTGAAGAAAGGTATCTGTATGGAATAGAAGGAAGAGAGCTAATGTGATCACTCTGGGGAAGGGGAAAATCAAGCTTAAGAGACTAGCTACAAAGAGAACAAAGATTTCAAAAGCTCCCTAAACAGCACTGTAGGTGGAATAGACTTCTCTGGGCAAGATATTGAGCACATCCAAAATGGAAATCAAAGTAGCAATAATAAAGAGAAAGAAAAAGAATGACGCAAAGGGCAAGCACCCAAGCCCACAGTAGAAATGATGAAGTCTACACCATCAGAAAATACGTAGGCCCTCAAGGCAAGGAATCCATTATCCCCCAAGTTTGTAGGAAAGGAAATAGATGTGCATATGGATTTAAATGCATATATAGATGTTGATGTATACCCATACATACTATGCATTTTATAGATGGTGAAGTAAGGTCTCAAAAATAGTCTAAACTTCTTTATAAAGAGGCAAAATCCAGGTCCAGTGGCTCACACTTACGATCAGAGCTATTCAAGAAGCTGGGATCTGAAGATTGTGTTCTGAATCCAGCGTGGGCATTAAAGTCTGTGTTAGAATCTCATGTTGAGTTAACCATCTAAAAGCCAAAAGTGGAGCTGTTGCACAAGTGGCAGAGTACCAGCTTTGAGAGAAAAGACTAAGGGACAGCACACAGGCTCTGAGTTCAAGCCCCTTCAAAGGGGAAGCAAGTTATACCTGATGAACCCGACAGCAGGGAGGCAGGACAAGTTGTGCCAACTGCTATTCAATTCCTCACATTCTCAAAGAACGATGGGGGAGTTATCTAGGCTCTGGTGCCAGCACGGTTTTGCTGAAAGACTGTTATTGCAATACACTGAAATTTTGACAAGTTTTAGTCTTCACAATTTTATTCCTCCCCCAGTCATGCATTATGCCAGTCGTGATCTTAAAAATACGTGTAAAAAAATAGAAATCGTTCTAAAACAACAAAGCACTATTCATACATTCAGAATCATTACTAGCACAATTTTAAAGTGATTTTTATTGTAACTGAGCTATTGATTTGTCAGTACCTTTTGTAGAGCCTCTTCTGTTTTCTCAGGATTCGTTTTAAGAGCTTGAGAAGCATCATACATGGGAATTGGCATAAATCTCAATGTGTAGTTCCTAAAGACAAAATTATATACTCATTTTAAAATAACTTTCTACTGCCTTTAATTCAGCACTCTGTTTTTACAATCCAAAAAGACAGCTTGAAGCTGCAAGATTAGCTTAAAAAACAACTCAGTCACCAGATCACCAAATCCCTACCTATCTGCTATACAGAGAGAAGACTGGTCTTTAGTATATACACATAGATCACCTTGTTCATTCATTTGGTCCTATCAAATTAACACAGCATTGAGGAATGTGATTTGCTGTTGTTTTGAAACACACCAAGCAAAAAATTTTCAATGGGGATCAGAAAGATAAGACTAAAAGAAAGTGTAGGAAAAAATATCCACCAGCAACTTGCTGCATGGGTTGTAGTAACCCATAGAATGGACTTGGGTTGCTATATTGAGTTTGGAAAGCAAAGCCAATAACATATGCCCTCAAGGAGTGATTGTCTCTAGAATATGCCACTGGGAAAGGATGTCCTGCCTGGCTAAACACCCTGTGACCCCCGAGAGTCCTTTTGCCCTTGCTTTTAGCTTCAGCTAGGTCTAAAAACCACATGACACAATTGTGGAGTGCAGACCATATATTATGTCATTGTTACTGGCAGGCTGGTTAGACAAGTGAGTCATTTTGAGTAAGAAGGACTTACAGAACTCTAAGACAGGCCTCTGACTCTGCTTCATTCTGGCACGTACCCAAATGACTACTAACATTTGCTATCTATACAGTACATGTCTTCTTCCTCCCATTCTGAATTGCATTTGTCCATTTCTATAGCCTGGTACTCGACAAAAAATCTTTTGGTGGCAACTAAGTTGTTCTCCTTATGCACTGGAACTACACAATACATTGCCTTGTCTTAGACCTGCAAACAATAAGCCTCACTCATGGTGTTTGTCTCATGGACTGCTGTTGGTGTGTAAATTAATAACTGGGTCTTCAACTCAGGGCCTGGGTGTTTTGTCTCTGTTTTATTTTGGGGTTTTATTTGTTGTTTTTTTCTCAAAAGCTGACAACTCTAGCACTTGAAGCTTTTTGTGGTCAACTGGAGATGAGTCTCACAAACTTTCCTGGTAATACTGGCTTTGAACTATGATCCTCAGATCTCAGCCTCCCAAGTAGCTAGAATTACAGGTGTGACCCCACCAGTACCCAGCTAATAACTAATCCTTAAAATACAATATTATGAAAAAATTAAGAAAATAATCATCTTGTAATAATAGTAATTTAGGTGGATGTTATTTTATGAAAACAATATTCATTCAGTCCAACTTCCAGGATGACTCTATATAGATTCAGATAAAGAAAAGGAGGTTATTTCTACATCTGTAATTTTTTTTATTTTATTTCAGCAGGGTTGTTTAGCTGTCCTAAAAGAAGCCAGCCAACTGGAACTAAGAGAAAATATGTCTTCTTTTATAGCCTTGAGGACTTTCCTTTCCCTCATCCAATTTTGATCATGTTACAGATCAGCATAACTTATTTAAGCCAAATGTGACTTTAAAGCACTGGTCTTGGAGACAGCACACATGACAGACTGGGATCAAGGCAGGCTATAGACCATCTGGAAATGTTGGGGACTGAGTGTACATGCTTGCGCTTCTTGTAAGCTTCCCTCTGGGTTAGATCTATGACAAGATCAGGGTGGCCGCTGTGACATTAGCACCCAAATGCAGCTGTTGATCAAAAACTGTTCCTACAAGGGGGTTCTGGTTTGTAGATGGAGCTGTGATAGGTGGTTCTGTAATCCCAGAGAGATTTGGGAAGGGGGGTGGCATGTGGACTTACTAGTGTAAGATGCTTTACCATTATTTTATGATGGCCCAAGGTTAGCAAAAAGAGAGTGAATGAAGTGCCCCTAATTGTGTCTGAAATACCACGCTGGGCCAGACAGCTCTTCACAGAGCCCTTCCAACACAAGGAAATCTGTGGAAACACACAAGAGTGAGCACTTCCTCTCCTTTCCCAGGGAGGGTCTTCTATCCATGGCTCCCTCTTTCCCACCACATTTGGATGCTAAGAATCTGCTTTTGACCACTTCTGTCCTTATAACATATGAAAGTTGTTGATAGCAAGATGACAAAGTTCTTGTCAGATTAAGGCAAACTATAGCCAGGAAGTTAAGGGCTTCAATGGGCCTGTCCTTAGTACATACTGATTCAATGACATTCTCAAGTCCCACAGAGATTCTTTCTCATTCTACATGTATCTTAAGGCTTTGAATTATTTTTTGGGGGGGTAGAGGGGGGTCCGGTCATGGGCCTGAACTCTGGGTCTGGGCGCTGTCCCTCAGCTCTTCAGCTCAAGGCTAGCACTCTACCACTTGAGCCACAGCACCACTTCTGGCTTTTTTTCTTCTGCTTCTGAGGAATCAAACCCAGGGCCTCATGCATGCAAGGCAAGCACTCTACCACTGAGCTACCTTCCCAGCCCTTATATATAGATTTTTTTTGGGGGGGGGGATCAGATGTGGGGCCTGAACTCTGGGCCTGGGTGCTGTCCCTCAACTCTTCAGCTCAAGGCTAGCGCTCTACCACTTGAGCCACATTGCCACTTCTGGCTTTTTTCTTTTTGCTTATGTGGTGCTGAGGAATTGAATCCAGGGCCTCAGGCATGCAAGGCAAGAGCTCTACCACTGAGCCACCTTCCCAGCCCATATAGATTTTTTTTTTTTTTGGGTCCAGTTGTGGGCCTGAACTCTGGGCCTGGGTGCTGTCCCTCAACTCTTCAGCTCAAGGCTAGCGCTCTACCACTTTTTTGCTTATGTGGTGCTGAGGAATTGAACCCAGGGCCTCATGCATGCAAGGCAAGCACTCTACCACTGAGCCACCTTCCCAGCCCCCATATAGATTTTTATAACAGAGTTTGACAGACAAACTCTTTTGTGTGTGTGTGCTGGTGCTGGGGCTTAAGGGTTTAAATTCAGGGCCTGAACTTTTTTTGCTCAAGGCTAGTGCTCTACCACTTGAGCCATGACTCTACTTCTTGCTTTTTGATAGTTTATTGGATATTGAAGTCTCATGGACTTTTCTGCCCAGACTTGCTTTGAATCATCATCAGACCTTGGCCTCCTGAGAAGCCTGCATTACAGTTGTGAGCCAGTAGTGCCCAGCTCTTTAATCATTCTTTAAGACAGCAACAGCCAGCTGTGGTGGTTGCAGGCCTGTTATCCTCCCACTTGGGAGGCTAACGAAGGAAGCTTATGAGCCTGGACTACACAGTGAGACACTATTTCAAAACAAAACATAACAAAACAAAACCAGATTGCGAGAAACTTGAGACAACATGTTTTGGACAGAATACTTGCCCCGAAACAGAACCTTCACAAATGAGCTGATCTCATCTCCCACCTTGGGTCTTAAGATTAATCAACTTTGTATCTGAGTAGGTCCAGTGAATATCTCCCTTTGTGCACCAAAAATTTTTGCCTTGTTTCAACTCCTTTGAAAGTACCCATACTTTACAAAGGCACATGTATTCCCACTGTAATGTTTTGCTATTTCCAGATAAACACTGTACTTTGGAGGATCTTGATTGTTTTTTGGTTTGAAATATAAGAATTAAAAAGGCCAGTGAAAACCATTTGTAGTATTCTTTCCAGCATGCCCAATACATCAGGAGAAAGTTAATGTCTTCCAAGGCCCGAAGGCTGATTACAGTACAAAAAACTTGGACCCAGATCTAGTCCCTAATGTATTTTTGCTTCTACTGTTCCACATGTTATACCAACACCACTGGCTCTCTTGTATTTTTTCACAAAGGAATCCATTCAAACTTACTTTTCCATAGCAACAGCTATATCTTGAAAGCCTTGTGCAGTGATGTTGTTCTTGTCCCATATTACAGTCCTGTTGAAAAACCAAATAATAGAAGTGATCAGACTCTTGGAAGTGAAGAAAAAGTTTCTCTTTTTGGGTATCTATAACCTATGAGCAAGAAGATGTATTTCACAACAATGTCATTATGTCAGCAAGGAACAGTGATCAACTTCATTTCAAACACAAGGGTGAATGTTTGCCCCGGTATTATGTTCTTTGGGGGAGCTGGTGGAAATTAAACCCAGAGTCTCATGCATTCAACACATGTGCTCGATAGCTGGGCTCTACCATCAGTTCCAACATTATATTTTTAATTTATCACTTGGGTAATATGAAAATACTAAACCTACACCTAAAAGCAGAACACTTAACACTGCAATACCTAACATTTTATCATCTAGAAAGCTTTAATGTCTGATTCTTCATTTATCTTCCCAACAGTACCTTTATATTAGAAACTATTTGCAAAAAAAAAATGATACTTTGCAAGAGATGGGAAACATATGCAATTTCAGGTACTGAGACTTTCTCCATTCTAAAACACTAAAAAGAACTCTGTCATACACTCTTACATTTTCACCAGTTTCTGCCCTACTGTGATCAATCCTAAGAACTTTGCTCACTGTGCTGGCAAGACCTCTGTTACTATAAATATGAAGTTGTTGACGTGTTAAGCACAAAATCTATTTTAAGGGGAAAAGAATTACTTTACCTTCAGAATGTGTATTCATCAGAGGTATTTTAAATTTGTCAGCTAACCTTGACATGTAGGAATCAATCGTTTCCAGTTGCCTAGATGATCGCAGCCCCACAACTTTGTTTTCCTGGCTCTAATCTTAATGACCTTCTCTGCACAGACACTGACCTCCAAAGACATTGTTGCTGGTCTAGTCTTTAACTTCAGTTTAGAAAGTAGGTTCAGATTCTGTCTTATGCTAAAAAGAGGAAACATTAAGAAAGAGCTCCAGGGGAAGAATGAGGGTTAACTTTTTACTCACCAGACTGATGAGAAGCTAGTGGCAAAACCTGCTTGATCTTTCTGAATAATGTATAGCTACAAGGTGAAGGCATAACTAATCCTTAGGAAAAGGCATGCTTGCCTGATGTACTCATGCCTATAATCCTACCTACACGGGAGGCTGAAATTGGGAGAATCCAGGCTACAGGCCACAGAGGAAATAACTTCATGAGACTCTCTCTCAAAGAATAAAATGTTGGACATCAAGGTGTGAGGCTGCTCTCTCAGTTAGACAGAGTATAACTAGAATCATGGTACAGCCTGCACCTAAACATAAATGCAAAACCCTAACTGAAAAATAATGAAAGCAAAAAGGGTTGAGGATGTGGCACAGTGGTAGAGCACCTATCTAGCAATACAAGGCTCTAAGTTCAAATCCAAACACTGCCAAAGAAGATGGAAGGGGAGAGAAGGGGACAAGGGAAAAATCAGCCACACTTAGGAAACATTATAGATGAAAACTGCCAAGCAGAACAAGTTAAAAGGCCAAAGTGAACTTGCTTTTGAAGCAGTAAACCTCTCCTATGCCTTGTGTTCTAAGTTTTTATGTTGGCAGGGGTGAAGAGGGAGCAAGCACTTGGCCTCACACCAAGTATGAGCTGTTGAATAAGGACATTTTGGTCAACAAAAGACTACAAATTCTATGGCCTAGTTATGTTGTGGCCTATATAGTTTATGTAAGTACATTCTGTGACTTTGACAGAAAATGAAATCTACCAATATATCACTCAAAATGTACCTCATCCCCTGACAGGGCAATATGTGAAGTTGTAAAAGTAAAGCTAGAGCTGCACTGGACAAGCCAGGAATTTGGAGATCCCAGGACTGTAGACTGAGCACAGTCAGCTAAAGAGAGTAGCCATGTGGACACCAACGGTTGTCAATCCATACAGACAGGGCTGCCCAAGCACTCTGAAGTTCACACCGCACCATCATATGACCCGGGACTATACATGGTGATGAAGTATTTAATGAATGTGGTACTCCCCATAAAATCTGTCATCACTAAGTGATACAAAACCATGTGGGAAATGTCTGTCATTACTTCTGACTGTCCAGCTCTACTCATTTAGTACTGCTTACAAAACCCTCCTTGTTCCTTACTGCCATTGCCCACAGTGATAAGACAAATGTTAGTTCTATAAGAGCACACGGTCCCCGATTCCAGGGCAGGTCCTGCCTACCTGAGCTTGGTGTTGATCTGCAGGGCTTTGGCAAGCATCTTTGCTCCCATGTCCCCCATCCCATTCCCACTGATGTCCACTTTGGTCAGAGAAGTGTTGCTTCCCAGGGCATTGATGATGATGGTGACATCAGTCTTGAGTTTGGAGTCAGCCAGGGATAAGGACTGAAGAGGCTGTGGAGCAAACACAGGCTTCGCTTAATAGTCTTGTCAAAGCAGAGCCACTTGCTAAACCTATTTTCTGGAGTATAACAGGATGGCCCATTGCAGTGTCTGATTTTGGACATACTGCCTAAATACACTAGTAATAGAACCTGAAGGTTCTGGCATTAAACAGACTTTTAGAAGGAAACATGAAGAGTGTTTTACTGACAATGGTAATTAGTCCTCTCTTCTTCTCCTTTTTTTAAAAAAAAATTTTGTGCCAGTTCTGGGGCTTGAACTCAGGCTAGTCACTGTCCCTGAGCTTCTTTTGCTCAACACTAGCATTCTACCACTTGAGCCACAGTGCCACATCTGGCTTTTTCTGTTTATGTGATACTGAGGAATCAAACCCAGGGTTTCATGCATGCTAGACAAGCACTCTACCACTAAGACACATTTCCAGCCCCAGCCGTTCTCTTCTAAGGGAAGCTATGGACCAGTTCTATTCAAGTAGGAGACGGGATGTGATAAATAAAATCACAATACAAAAATTTCTCAGCTTGGATAGAGTTGCCTTGTTCCTTTTTAGTCATTCTATACTTACATAAGGTTAAATGGTATCTTAAAATACTAAGAAGACAAATGTAAACTGAAAACCAGCCAAGATGAACAATGCCCAACCAGAGTGTTTACTGAATATTAAGGACTTCTATCCACTTTTTACATGGCTTAATTCACTTTCGCCTCCTAGTTATCTATAATTCAGGTACCCAGGTATCACTGTTTTCCTTATTTCCCCAATATGAAACAGAAAGGTAAAGTGACTCAACCAAATTCATGTGACTAGAAAGCAAGTGAACTGAGTAGCAAACAATCTGAATAGTCTGGGTCCAGATTTGGGGACTCAGAGTAACTATATCACATTGCTTCAATTAACTTTTCCTAGAGATTGACTATTATCCCTTAACTTCATCTTTTAAGTTTCAACCAGGAAATAGTTCTATAATTAAAGGAGAAAAATCAAATCTGTGTGATCTTTCTTGCTTTATCATATATGGTATAGTGAATCCAATCCAGCAGACTTACTATCCATTTAAGCAAGAGATGGACTGACAGCTATTTAGACTGAGAGTCGGTTTTGTTCAGCCTGTAGAGTATGTGACTAAATAAATATACGAATGTAAGTTAGGGCTTCTTACATATACCCAGCTCACTGTACTTCGTTGTTTTCCTACTTCTAGGAGCCATTTGGGTTTACAATGCTTGACATAGGTCACGACTTATCAGGGAAGGTATGATTTCCAGGGCTTGAACCAATATGGCACTAAAAATAGAATTCAGACCTGGGGGAGCTGGATGTCTTCTGGTTTGTATGGAGGGATCTAGACTGTTCCTATTTCATAAGCAACTGTGACATTACAGGGAAGTGAATGCAGGGAGCATTTATCTATCATCAAATTCTACTCTTTGGTGCCTGGATAGTCTCTCTAATGACCCCATTCACAGTCTAAGGTCTATCTCTGTCTGCTCACTCACTCCACACTGATTTCCAATACAGCATGTGAGAAAGGAGCATCTACCAAATGAGTACAGGAGACTGGCAGGTACCAATGACATCAAGAGTCCAACATCAAAAAGGCAACATTGTGTATTTGATTCATACCAAGTGACTCTACTTATTGTCCATCCAAATTACATCATGCTTTCCAAACTTACCTTGTATGTGGTAAAATCCAAAGGCAATAGCATATTCATTAGAATCAAAATTATGAAAAAATTAATTAGTAAGTACTAAGGCAATTAAACTCCCAGACCAAGCTATGTACTGGTGGCTTGGGAGAGCTGATGCGAGGCTGACACTGTAGGAATCAAGACTCAAGGCCAGTCCAGGTAGAAAGAAGTTCACAAGACTCCTTCTCAATGAAGAACAACAAGTGGTGTCTCATGCTTAGCTAGAGAGGAAGCCTAACATGGGCAGATCATCTCCATACAGGAAATAGCCTATCAGAACAATAACCAGTAAAAATCAGGGCTAGAGGCTTACTCCATGGTAAGAATGTTTGCTTAGCAAGTATAAAGCTCTTGAGTTCAAAATCTCCATACTTCACACAGAGAAAACCCACAACTGAGCTTGAAGTCTGCTTATGTTTAGACTCACATTGGATTGGCTCACATAAAATGGGCTTTAGTTTTCTTAACATCTTACATTCAGGCAAATGGAAAAGCAACTAAAAATTCTTTGGATGTGGGCCACTTAGTGTTTAAAATAAAACACCAACAAATATAATACTACTTTAATCAAAAGCCACAGTCACATCTCTCATAATTTCAATAATCTCTATTTAGATACTAAAAAATGATACATAATGGCTTCTTCTTAATACTGGAATACTAACAACTCACCAAAGGAGCAAGCACCAATTCCAGCACCACATTCAAATTCAAATACACTCCAGTTAACACTTAAAAATAATAGGCAGAGTCATTAATGCTTATTGCATGCAATTCTGAAGAGCCAGAAATGCATGCATATTTATAAGGTCATCCCTTTTTGATTTATTGCATTTACACATAGTATTACTATCTGAATTCTTACTATTTCTTTTCATAATTTAACCTAAGATTCTGCCTCCTGGCTTCTGTTAGTCCATGGGGAAACACATACTGTTTGGTTTGTTAGAATACAGGTTTGTAGGTAATACTTCAGGACAAGATTCTCTGCTGACTTCACCCTCACATGGGTGCAATAACCTGAAAATCACTGTCTTTAGCTGAAATTACAATGAAGCCCACTGTGTCTAGATTGTGAAACTGAATATATGGTATGATTCTGAGTAAGTTGTCTCATGGGCTGTCAAAAAATGAGCTCTATAACAACAAAGAATATCAAAAGCAGAGATTACTTCTGCATATGTCAAATGCTTAAATAAATAAAACAAAAAAAATGAGCCCAATTGTACCAGTGTTCTGTGGAATATTTGAAATCACAACTGTCATCTTTCTATTATTTTAAATTGTTTTTGCATACTACTAATTCAAAAATAGGTGGAAAACCTAATATGGTTGCTTTTTTGAAAGATACCTACTTTTAAGTGACACAAAAATAAAAAGGATTCATTATATAGGCCATTAGCAATACACTAATCAAACACAAAACTTCACAGAACTTGCAGTAAACTTTATCATCCTCAAACAGTTCTTACATGGAGTCTAAGTATCTTTAAGTAAGAGATTTCTAAAATTACAGGAAGTTTGAAGATGTGTATGCAATAAGCAAAACATGAAATATAGACTTGTTATAAAATATAAAATTTTCCAAATTCTGTGCTAGGAAAAAAATAAGGGTGAACATGAAGTATGAGTTTATAGTTTCCCTGATTTGTTAAAAATGGTCCAATACTGGCAAATATTAAACATAAATAAAGCAAGGTGGTGAAAAATCAAATTAAGTATGCAAAACAAATAGTATAGTTCTGAAAAGTCGGGTTTATCAGATATATGGATGAAGAAAAGTATTTGGATTCATTAAAGAATAATGATTTTAATTTTTCGGCCCACAGGTTAAAAATTCTTGTCATACAATAAAAAACCAGAGGACAGATTCTTGCAATAGATAGGAAGATGAAGACAAGGGCAAGTTCAGTCCTTCTACCCTTGGGCCTCATAACTTTCTCAGAAAAGTCAGCTGACTCATTTAATAGATTTGCTATTAATTCCTGGTAAGAATTCAAGAGGGAAAAAGATAATTTTTCAAAATGTGACATACTTCACTTGATGAATTTAAGAAATCACCTGATGACCTACAAGAATAGCTGTTCCAAAACACAAATGATGTGATTCATCACAATAGGAATACAAATTGATGTGTATTTTTAGAAACTCTAAAAGCTGTATCATTTAACCAAATAGAATTTTGACAGGAAAGGGTCAAAATCTTACCTGAGAGTTTTCATACATTATATGGTATGACATATCAGTTCTAAACTAAATGAATCCATGATAGAGTGCTCCTACTTTGTAAAATATCCTTTATTTTTCTCATGCATTTTAAAGAGAAGTAAAATAGGATATGATTTAAAATTAAATTTCTTTACCCTGAATTAGGTCTTGGCCAGCAGTAACTACAGGGGATTAAAATAACAGGAGGATTCCTAGGGCTCAAGAAGCAATTTAAGATGGGAGCCTTAACATTCTACATAATCACTTGATGAAGTCCAAACCAATATATACAGTGTTTCTCAGCATTATATTAAGGTCAAAAAGTCAGTAAGATTGTCTGTAGATTACTGTGTTAGCTAAAGTTAGGTAAATTAAAAGATAGGCTCAGGAGTCAATTTATACTTTATAGACTGTTATGTACAATCTTCCTTTAGTAATGAATTGAATGAAGAATAAACTCTTAAAATACTCTACAACTCTATTAAAGAAGATCTATTCCATTAAAAAAATAATGACATAAAACATAAATAAAATTATCTGAAAGCATTTAGGCATTAACCCAGTAGAAACAGCAGGAAAATGGCAACAGACAAAAGATTTTAGTCAAAGTGTTTAAAATTATACTCACTGAGTCTTCTTCTTGAATCATCTGTACTAAGTTGTCCAATACAGGTGTCAGATTTCTAAAGAGATTTTAAAGATGTGGACAGTGGAATCAAATCAAAAGTTTTCAGGAGGTTGGTTATTTTCATCATATTAAAAAAATTCAAAACTCTTACTTGGATTTCATATTATTAAAATTTTTGCCTAACGCCAGGTGCTGTATTGATCTGTTCTTACTGAGCCACACTATTAAGGTAGATAGGTCAGATTCTAAACCTGGAAAGAAGCAAGAGTAAATAGAAAATCAAAACACATGTATTTAAATGACTTCTCATTGTTGACACACAATTGGATAACTTCCTGTACCAAGCTCAAGGTCCAGAGATACAAACCTTTTATTGTCAACAGAACTTACAGCTCTCCTGAGGGACAGCGCCCAGGCCCAGAACCAAAAAAAAAAGAACTTACAGCTCTCTTTTCAAGTCCTATTAGTTCATAGGGATAAACTCATTCTCTACTAAGACTTATCTAAACCTTTTATACAATCAGTAGCTAAACAAAGTCAGCAAGATTTGAGACTAGATAATGGCAGAATCTCCTCTTTTCCCATCTTTGTGTAAGAGAAGATCCCAACCTATTATTCACTGATAGGTAACCATAAACAAAGTTTTCTATACAGATTCAACAGGCTCATAATACAATCAGCAAACTGAACCTAATTAAAGAGGATTAAGAGCATAGTTTTACTACTATCAAGACTGAAAAAAGTTGGGCTCAGGTTTTACCAAAGTATGGATGTTATTATTATTATTTATTATTATTTAATGGGCTATTTTCCTGTAGCATTTAGTCTAGGAAATCAACTTAGTAGAAAAGCTCTCTTAGTCAACAATTGCAATAATTTGCTTCAAATAACTTGCTTCAAATAACTTGCTTCAAATAGCATTTCCATTACTTTTCTGACTCACCATTGTCAGAGATGTCTAAGCGGGTGATATTGTGTACTTCAGCAATGCAACCTTCCAAGACTTGAGCCCCTCCTGACCTCAGCTATAGAAACAACCAAACACAAAGTCAAGTCCTCACCTATTGCAATTACAACCAAAGCTTAAAAATAGGACAAAAGAAAATAAAAATATAAAGTTTATCTACCCTAAAACCAAACCAAACTATTACCAATGACAAAACTTTACCATCACTTGATGGTATGGAAAATAAAATATTTAAGTTAATTTAAATAATTTAAGTTAAAATTTAAGTTTATATTAACTTTATACTCTTTACTGATATTCATGCACACATGAAACTAACATGTTTCCCAGGACTTAAAAATAATCAAAGGCATCCTTAATTTGCTGCCTCAAGTACTTACACAATGGCCAAGCTAATGGAAGCACAAGGAGAAAAATAAGACATTATCAATAGCAAGCAGAACAAAAATAAAGAAGTCGAAGTCTCTCTCAGTATACAGTGTAAAAAAGCAAAAATACTTCTAACTAAAATGTGTTCCTGAGACAAAAATAAATTTTTTTTCAAGAAAATAACTGATCTCCAGTTAGCAAGACTATTCAATTAAATTTAGAGGTTACTAGGTGCCTAAAATTCCCCAACAGCTAAAGCTTTCCCACAATAGTAAGAGCTTTTCCATTACTATAAATGAAAAATCCTTTTAAATAAATTTGCATAATTGAGCCATGTGGGTATGTGTGCTTATAAAACTGGTTTTTAAATTTTATCTCACACACTAGGATTAGTTTTTAAAAAGCCAGATCAAGAGAAGAAGGCATGTGAGGTACTATGACTAACTGTTGAACACTTTTCCAAACGTTAAAAATAAAACCATGTTTCTTTCAAAAGAAATGTCCTGTCACTCACACAAAATGGATCATTTTAGAAAATACTTATAATTTTGAGTTATATATCTATAGCTGAGATAAGGGAAGAAAAAAGCCCTAAAATCTAGAATCTTTAATAATCTTGCCTCAAGATCACGTACCAATTAAAAAGGTGGGTAATTTTTTAAATTTAAATATAAAGTGATCTCCACATTACCTATTTTTCTCCTGTCATCTCCATTTTTAATAAATTTATCTGGGGAGTTTTCACACATAAAACTCAATAAATAATGCAGTTTTCTCTTATGATATCAAAAATACCAATTAGCATCTATTTCAAATGTCCAACTCCTATCAGGGTATAATGCCAAGTAGCATTTTTAAAATATTATTTGTTGTATATGAAATCTTTCCAAGGTTGCATGTATGATATGGTTTAATATACTTAGCCTTTTCAGTTTTGCATTCATACCTGGCCTGACATGTAAGGGACAAAGAATGCTTACCTCCAGTCTGGTTGAATGAGTACCAGATTAAATAGAAGAATTACCTTGAAAGTTTCTACTCCTTTATTGAAATTTCTTACTCATTTCAATTTTTAATATCTGGTGCTCTTTTTCTATTCATTATCAATGGCAATGAATCGTGGAATAATCTGCAGGAACTGTTCCCAATGGAACCACCTCTCACACCTTGACCTTTTACGTCTTCCCTGAAATATCAGAGATTCTTCTGGTACTTAGAAGGAGACTAACCTTAAAGAATTCATTTTCAGCCTTTATATGTTCTTCTGAGATGGGACTGAGAAGTAATTCTGTTTTCTTTTCCTATTTTTTTTCTTTTTTTGTCAGTCATGGAGCTTGAACTCTGGGCCTGGGTGCTGTCCTTGAGCTCTTTCAGCTCAAGGCAAGTGCTCTACCACTTGAACCACATCACCACTTCCAGTAATTCAGTTTTCTAAAACACATCACAGCCAGGTGTGAGAGGGCCCACCTGCAATCCCAGATCCTCTAGGAGGATTGTGAGTTAAAGGCCAACTGTGCTATAAAAGGGAGAGGAATGCCTCAAACAAAACATTATAGATAGAGAACAAAACAAAATAAAGTTCTGAACATATGTCTACTGTTTCCTTTTAGTAGATGGAGACCCAGACATGATGCACTACTATGGTATGAAACAGCTTTGAAACTCTTCTTTAGGAGCCCTTCTCAAGAGCCTTGAACACCTATTTCTTTGCATATCTGAACCACTGCCAGGTTGTGTGAAATTAGGATCAGCTGCAGGCCATTCAGGGGCATATTTATGCTGGCTACAGAGGGAATACTGTTTCTTGTCCCAACACCAGCTATGGCTATAATTTCACAGACTAATCCTCCTTGAAAGATGTAAAATATTTTTGAAAACAATACCAAGAAATATTTTGGTAGACACTAAATACTTAGAAACCTAAATAAAATAACTAAATAACTTAGAAAGGCAGTATTAACCAATGCTTTAAAGTAAAATAGACTAAATAAGGATCCTCTCCAGATGAGGATCTCTCTCCACTCTCCAGTTCCCTCCAGATAATGGCTCACATGTGTTGGACCCAACCTATGGCAATGAGCCAAATGCTGTTTCTTAAAACTATTAGTATCCTCACTCAATAGCTAAGAAATTGGCTGGGAAAAAAAAAAGCCATTTCATAAGCTAAAGGAGACCTTTGATTTCAAATCACCTGCCCATTGAAATGGCAATCTTTTATCATCCATTACTACACTGAGTCGTTTTCATATTTAGAAAGATCATTTCTTTTAGATACTACATGACCAAGGAAATTAAAACAAAGTGATAACATAATCAACATGAAATGCCTTGAGGAATACAGAAAGGTGGATCTTTGGTTAAGTTTTGAAGTCATCTATAAATGTAAGATTAATTTCAGAACCAGGACTTTAGTCTTCACAAATTGAAAGCAGAGAGGCTAAACTTTTGGGTTTAGTTGTCTAAATAATTTTTTTTTTTGGTCAGTCATGGGACTTGAACTCTAAGCTTGGGTGCTGTCCCTGCACTCATCAGCTCAAGGTGAGCATTCTACCACTTGAGCCACAGCATCACTTCCGATTTTCTGGTGGTTAATTGGAGACAAGAGTCTCACGGACTTTCCTGCCGGGGTTAGCTTTGAACCACGATGCTCAGATCTCAGCCTCCTGAGTAGCTAGGATAACAGGTGTGAGCCATTGGTGCCCAGCAAAAGTGTTATTTTTATTATAGGAAAGCAACTACCTAATTTATAAATACCCACAGATAATATAGTAACAAGCAGTATAGATTTACTCTCTGTGAAGGAAGTATAACATAAAGCATATTTTTCCACCCACTGACTAAGTTTGAAATGCCTCTTTTAGGGGAATATAGGAGAATCTAAGATCAACAGGATAAGTCACCAGGAAAGAGGAGAAAGAATAATAAATGGACCTGATACGTGACTCCTTTAAGAATAATGTGCTTAATTTCTATGCTTCCTAAATAGACACTTTAATTTTTACTTTAAGATTCCTCCCACCTCCTAAGGAGCTCAACCACCATATTAGATGATGGTCATTTACCTTGTATGACACCTAAACAAAGATTTAAACTGCATCATTGAAATTTTTTTCCTATAACAGGAAGTGGATCTAGATTCCATATCAAGGTATTTTACGTGGAAAATAGCAAACAATTTATAAACATAAAACACATCAAGGTCATTTTACAACTGTTCTGCTTCTGTAGGTTTGGGAGAGTCTCATCTCGGGAGCAGCACCTGTAGAAGGCACTGAATTATCACTGTGCCCCACATAAGAAACCACAGGACCACACTGTCCAAAACTCTCCTGCTTGGGAGAGCGAAGGAAGGGGTGACACTGTTGAAAAGGGAATGTCCTCTTTATCTGACTTATCTAACTTTATCTGTTCATTACCTTTACAATAACAATTGGAAAAGAAAACTTTCCAGCTCTCTGCTTTATACCTGCATCATTTCTATGCTTCACACTTAGATCTGCCCTTCTTCCCAAGTCAGTTATCTCTCTAGATGATACTTCCCACAATGACTGTGGTGACAGGGAAAATTTTCATTCCTCACTACATTTCAGATAAAGTTAGATTTATCCAACTATGAAGGAGAGTTAAGGACAGAATTCTTCCATGAGTTTGAAGAGTGTGCCATTTGTGAAGAGAGTTGTTTCTACCATGGCTTTATAGACAACAGAGAAAGGGCCTTAGGGATCAGTAAGCCAGTGGTATAATTATTGCCTAGAATACTCAAGGCCTTGGGTTTAAACCAGAAAGGAAGAGAGAACAAGAGGGGGGAAGGAGAGGAGAAGAGTGGCAAGAGAAGGAAGAGAGAGAAAGAAGAAGGGAGGGGAGAAGAGCAAAATACACACAGATGTGATTTTAGAATGTCAAGTTAGTGGAAGTTTCTTTCTGAGAGCATTACAGAAATTCTAAAGTACCAAACATAAGAGACATTATTAATACACCAAGTGCCAACCATTCTAACATAGATTACATGGTAATGCAAAACATGCTACAAGGGAAGTTTACTGTACTATGAGGAAGAAAATTACAACATCGAGTTAAATTTGGACATGTAGCCCTAAAAGGCAAAATTTGACAAAACACTACAATGTAGAAAAATAATTTTGCACTGTGTGGTCACTAGTACTAGAATTCAGGCTGTAAGATGGGGGGGGGGAGAGAGAGAGCTCCCTTTCTCAGCAGTTCTCCTATAATCCATCATAAAGTCCACAACTGCATTGGAATCATCATCACAATCATTGGTTGATAATAACAATCATGATGGTCAAACCCACTTTCTAAGATTAATCATTTATATTGAATCTTGTTTTAATTTTTTAAAAAAGAGTGAACCAACAGTTATATAGAATTTTATGTAATTATCTATAGGCTACCTTTTTTGTCCTACAAAAATACTGAGTTTTTATATGGTTCACCTAATATTTTTGTCTTTTGAAAGTTCTCAGCAGATCAGTGAAATTGAAGAAACAAGTAATATAGCAATGCAACAGAATTTTTCAAGCAATTTTTGAAAGCAAAATAATCACTTGTAATATTCTAATAATCACCAATATCAGAATTATTATTTACATCAGAAAATCAGGATAGTGTGTTTTCAGTATGGCTCTGTTAGTGAGTGGCATTATTTTGGCTTCTCCAGAGCTGATGACTATTCTAGCCTTATCAATAAATAATAAAATGTTAGATTGGTAGTAGTCAAGATCTCTAATTACGATAGTAAATTCACATTATAAGCCACTGCTAATTTGGTACTTTGATAGGGGAGGGCAGTTACCTTTATGTTAACTTCTTTTGGATGGAATAATATTTTCCAACCCCCTTCATTTCATTCCTCTGGTATTAAAAAAAAGTCCTAAAGTACTACTAAGAAATTAATTCATATAATCACAGTTGGGTTCTACTTTTTACAGTCTGTCTTTATAAATGAAAGACAAATGATTCACATATCAATGTTCCACAATACAAGATAAATTTTTTAGGGTTTTAAATTTTTAATAATTTTTTTTCTTTTTCATACAAAACCAGTGAATCACAAAAGTGATGCTCACCCCAATCAAAATTAATGAAGACTCCTACCCACACTAGTAACTTGAATGATACGATCTCAGTCTTGTCAGTTTCTAGAACTTTCAAGGAGATAAAGTGCTAATGTTTTTCAATATCTAGTGTTGGCTTGGTTCCACGATTTTGTGAGGAGAACAATATGATGGAACACAACATTTTGTTAGAACACAGTATGAAGTATGACACAGACACTGCTCTCTAGAAAGCTGCAGAAGCCAACTTAATAACTGTGTAACGTACTTTGGAGTTCAGTGTCCAAATGTGTATTACAATCGCTGAGCATCAGACAATTAGAAAAGAACAAGATCACAAAGGGCCAAAAAAGTCATGGAAAAAATTCAGCAAAGAGACCCAAGTATTGGGAAATTAAAAGAGCAAACAATCTGAAGAGGCCCTTTTCAAAGAAGAGCTCCTTTAACCTCAACCCACTCACTAGAAGAGCTACTAATATCATCTCCACTTGGCAGGCACAGAAACTGAAATTCAGTGATATCAGCAAATCCACCCATAATCACCAAGTCCCCAAGCCTGAAGCATACACAAAGACTGGCCTTGGGCTAGATCCTCAAAGAGCAGGATGTCTTAGGAAGGGGAAAGAGAATAGAATAGGCAAGTTAGTTTTAAGAAGAGAGCACAGTAGGTCTACAGAAGATAGGGAAAGCAAGTTTTAGAAAGAGCACAGTAGGTCTACGGAAGGTAGAAGAGAGCATGGGAGGACTATGCCAGAACTAAAGAAGCAGAGACTCCCACCACCACCCTGAGCAGAAATGGAGCCTGACAAGCTAGGTGAAACCAGGCTCTGAAAAAGTCATGTGGTTTACACTTACCAGCTCACACCAACTGAAAGTATCAAGGTAGTAAACATTTAAGTGTTCTCTAAAGTATAAAGGCTTTAATCTTGACTCTTCTCATTGGATCTTTGATTCTAAGTGCTTGGTGCTACTGTAATTCCAAGAGGCATTTTATTTCTCTGTCTTAAATCAAACTATTGAAGTAGTAAAATTTATGAGATGACAGCCATTGTCTTTTACATTCTCCAAATCTAAATTCAGCTACACACCTCTATCCTCTGTCATGCATGCTGTATTTTACCTTACTAACATTTGTTTATTGCTTTATATCTCAAGGTTTCATCATAAATTACTCAGGCAACAGGCACAAAGAATGGGAGGGAAAAAATAAGTCATTAACAATACACATAAATGCTTTTCTGAACACAGTGTTCTGCTTTCAATAAGATTTGCAAAATGCCGAGTATCTTAAATTCATATAATATGTATTTTTCTGCTACATTATACCCTGGTAGAATCATTGTACCATGCTTTTCCCAGGAAAAAGGCAAAGCAATTTTGAGGCCATTATCTAACCCCGTGCAGAATCTTAAGGTCATCTTACCTCACAGTTGCTGAGATCAAGAGAAACCCCCTTCAAGCTATGATTACAAGACAGGCCCAGTAATAGTGCTCTAAGGGAAGGAAACACAAATATCAGGTACAATTCCAAACACACACACACACACACAGACACACACACACACAGACACAGACACACACACACACACTTCACTATACTGAATAAAGCCTTGAAAAAAGAACACCTTTTCTAAATAACAGGTCAAGCAAAAAGCAACCTCTCACATTTTAAAATGCATCCTGACAATCTGAATTTTTAAAAAAATGGCAGGGGAACACTCCTCTGTCTCCCAGGCAGCATTTGTAATGTTAAATGTAAAACCTGATAGGATTGCTATTCCAATGCAAATAAACCAATAGCACGCCTAACTGAGTATTGAAATTAAATTGTGTTCATCATAAATTCCCACCTGCATCTGCTTGAGAATTGCTTTAATAATGCTTAGAATATTAGTAGGCAATTGTTATTAGAGTAGCAAAGTAGAACTGGTTTTCCCTCAGCAATATGGTGAGATGGAGTCCAGCTCCATGGTATTCCAGGTTGGGACATAATGAAAGCTAGATATCTTGATTAAAGGACTTCAAGACCTGTGTGGGTGGGGTAGAAAAGCACGGGGGATAAGAAGATGCAGGTCTTGAATTCAAGTCTAGAATCCCGACGGGACCGCCACCTGTAGGACCAGGGCAAACCCCATCTCTGCTGTGAAAAGGAATGTTTTAATGTACAAATTGAGGCGTTTGGGCTCATCACTCTGATGTCTTTTCTAAGAATGTGAATTGATTCCACTTTTACAAGGCAGTCCTATAAAAGCCAACATCACTGAATAAGCTTAACATCAAGCATTTGTATATGCACATCACATCCACAAAATTATATACTGCAGGGAAAAAAATGTCCTCCCTTAGGCCTTGTGAGGGACTGGAAGCTGAGCATGTGCCTTCATGCAGAAATAAACACTGTGAATATAACTAGAACACAAAGCAGACAGTGATAAGCACTGAATGGTAGTACCTCCCACCCTGAGTGACTACCTACTTGTTCTCCATGTTCCCAGGGAAAGAACCTTCATCTACAATATACCCAAACTACCCCACTAAGGCAAGGGTCAGTGAAGTGTGTGTGTGGGGGGGGGATTATTTTATTCAGATCCCTGAGAGTTTCTCCTTCCCATGATTATCAGGCCTCACCCACTGAGAGAGAACTCGTGCCATGGAGACCAAGAGCTTGGCTGTCTGGAGCTATAAGAAGTGGAGACATGACTCAAGCAGTAGAGTGGCTAATTAGCAAGCAGGAAGCCACGTTGAGTTCAAACTCTAGTACCACCCAAAGGGAGAAAAAATACATCAAACACCTCTACAGTTAGCTTGAAGGCTGGAGGTGAGTATCTTTTGTTTCTTGTTTATTTTCTTTTTTCATTTTCAAAAATCCAGTTCACTTGTCCCTACTCTAAAACACTATCCTATGAAAGTTTGGGTATATCTGATCTATGGACACATCAATTGCTTCTCTTTTTCAAAAAATTGTTTTCTTCTCCTTTCTTTCCTGGGAGGCAGTATTTGGGACTAAGTAAGAGGTTAGTCTCTGATCCTCTCCCTATCACTACACACTAGTTAATTTTGAGTACATCAGTTTGGGGGGAAGAGATCCTCAAGTCCTATCAGTACAATGATAAAGCCTGAACATTATCAAAGAGGTCTCTTATTATTTCTAACACATGCTGAATGTTTAACAAGTACCCATGCATGTGTTTTTATCAGGAAGGAAAATTTATGTATAAATATATATGGAAGGAAAGTACTTCCTATTTGTCTTACATATAGATTAAGGCCAACAAAATAAATGGTGTGCTTTAACTATAGAAGGCCCAAGATTAGAAGGCAATGACTCATGAGACCAGTAAAAATAAATAAACCATAGAAACCATTCTAAGGAAAATGAAGCAAAATAGAACAAGTACAACAAAGCATACTGAGGATGGGGGGAGGGGGGAAGAGGAGGGCCCACAAGTGTTGATGTCAAGAAACACTGTTTTTTGTAACCTGATGGTAGTAAAACCTCCTACAGAATGATCTGCTCAATCCTCAATCACCACTGCAACAATTCAGAGAAGAATTGGTCCCCATCTCTGGAGAGGTCACACATGGTAATTTTGTAGCTACACATTTAATGCGCTTAATAAAAATACTCAGCTAAGGAGATGGGGTTGAAGAAAGGGGGAGCATGTGCTAGGATGCAAGGAGGAGGGGAGGAAAAGTGAGAGAAGAAATGCACTCCAAGGGATTCTAGGACAAGGAACATTCTTGGGATACATGGAAAAAGAATTAAGTGTCTCTGACAGCATATATAACCATACATATTTGAAAATATCTTTTTTATGCACAGCAAGAAATTAGCTCTCTAATTCTTGAGCAGTACATTTTTGACATTTGCTGGCCATGGTACACAGAAATCTCGAGAATAACCAATTATTCCCAAATCTTGATTCACCTAAAAAAATTAACTATACTACTACTACTACTTTTATATAGGGATACTAACTAATCACACGAAAGGATTGCCAAGTAAATGCCAAACAGATAACTGAGACTTACCTTGGCAATTGAGATATCTAAACCCTGAAAATTAATTTCATTCTACATATATAACACATAAGAGAGAGTGGGTAATTACTGTTAGTATAAATTGTTAGAATAAACATTGATTAGAACACATGGAAAAGAATAAGCCACAAATGGGCTGAACAGAGATTGTTATAAAAGTACTAACACCTTGGAGCATAACTTTAAATAAAAAGTTTTATTAACACATATCAATTATGCACACTGGTGGGGTTCTATACGGAATTTCTATACATTTTTGGACCATTGCATATAGTCAGTGAGCAAGGTCACCAACCAAAGGAAGAAGTTTTTGTTTTGGGTTTTTTTTTTTAACTGTATTTTTTTTGTCTTTTTTTTTTCTTTTTTGTTACTGGGGATCGAACCCAGGACGTTGCGCTTGCTAGGCAAGCGCTTTGCCACTGAGCTACATCCCAGCCCCCAAAGGAAGAAGTTTTTAACAGAAGATGCAATAACATTAATAGAGTACAATGTATACTATTTTAAATTTACACTGTCTCACAGCAAAAAAGGCATCCTCATTTGTCTTTTCTGCCTTTGGGTTATATATCTTACTCCTTTCCTTCAAGAGTATTCATAATAACAAATTGAACTTTAAAAGCTCTAGAGAAAATGAATTAATCACTCACTTTAAAGGCTCAGGAGACAGTTTTGTGCCAGACAGGTTGATTTGCATCAAAGCTAGAGAACTACTAAAAAACTGCTTGAAAGATGGTGGGACTTCTTTTCCTTTCCTGAAAAAAAAACAAAGAGTTATACAAGTGGTTATAGTCTCATCTGACTTGCTTAACTGCTTCTTCAGATACTGTGTAAGAATCCACAATTAGTCATATTCTCTGTAAAATGTGAAAGTAAAAAGAAGCCTACTGGAAAAAACATCCTGTATTATTAAAGAAGTGGCATAAGAGAGCTCAGATATGTCATATCATTAAGTCCATAAAATAACGTATCCCTATTCTTTGTACCTAATACTTGTATTTTAGCACTTCAATTAAAAAAAATTATCTTTTGTCAGCATGAGGCTTGAACTCAGGGCCTGGGTACTATCCCTGAGCTCTTTTGCTCAGGGCTAGTGCTCTACCACTTAGAGCCAAAGCTCCACTTTCTCTTTTCTGGTGGTTAATTGGAGATTAAAAAAAACTCTCAGGGGCTGGGAAGGTGGCTCAGTGGTAGAGTGCTTGCCTTGCATGCATGAGGCCCTGGGTTCCATTTCTCAGCACCATATAAGCAGAAAAAGCCAGAAGTGGCACTGTGGCTCAAGTGGTAGAGCACTAGTCTTGAGCTGAAGAGCTGAGGGACAGCGCCCAGGCCCAGAGTTCAGGCCCCACAACTGACGAAAAAAAAAAAAAAAGATTCTTAGGACTTTCCTGCCTGGGCTAGCTTTTAATCTAGATCCTCAGACCTCAGCCTCTTGAATAGCTACGATTATAGGCATGAGCCACCAGTGCCTGCCCCTCAATCTCAAGGGAATTCTATGTTAGGCGTTTTAATATAAAAGGATATGTATATGTAAATACACACACCACACGTGTGCCCTTGTATGCACACACATATACATACAGACAAGCCTTATACTACTAGAGTTATATCTCCAGTATTTTTTTTGTCTTTTTATTTATTTGATTTAGTAACTTTTAAGATCAAGGTCCTTGTGTTTTTGCCTAGGGCTATACTGGGCTTCTCCTACTAACATTTCCCTTATAACTGGGATTACAGGCACACTGTATCACCTTGGTTTTTGTTAAATGGGGTTTCACTTTTTGCTTGGGCTAGTTGGTCTCAAACCATGACCTTTCCAATCTCTGTTTCCCAAGCAACTTGGATAATAGCCTATGTCACCACATCCAGCCTAGAGATGTGTACGTTTCATCAATTTCAAGAACTTTCCCACTGGGAAATGCAGGATTACCACCTGAATTTAGCAGTATATTTAGATAGTGCCTGGTGTGGAGTAGAGGAATAGCAAAGGAAGTGGCATGAAGCCTTCCTGACAAATTTAGGTAACTACTATATATATACCGCAAATCTACTCATCTCAGCCCAGCTCTGGTGGCTCACACCTGTAATCCTACCTTCTGAAGAGGCTGATATCTGAGGATTAAGGTTCCAAGCCAGCTGGGGCAGGAAAGTCCATGAGACTCTTATCTCCAATAAACCACTCGAAAACCAGAAGTGGCATTGTGGCTCAAGCAGTAGAACACTCGCCTTGAGCTGAAAAGCGCAAGGACAGCACCCAAGCCCAGAGTTCAAGGCCCACGCCCGACCAAAAAAAAAAAAAAAATCTACTCATGTCAGGACAAATATCAGAAAAGTTGAAAGATAAAAACTACAGAATGAAATGACTATGTCCGTCTGCTTAAGACAGCGGAAAGTGGGTAGATGGAACAGTAAGCTCAGGGACAAGGGAGAATCAACACCATATGATAAGAGTTAAAGAGTTAAAGAAAAGTAGGATGGTCACCAGTGAATCTAGTCTATATAGTCCTACCTATTCAGGAGGCTATGATCTGAGGATCGCCAGCACTGGCAGGAAAATCCTTGGGATTCTTATCTCCAATTAAACACCAAAAAGCTACAAGTGGTGCTATAGCTCAAGTGAAAAAAGCTCAGGGACAGCACCAAGGCACTGAGTTCAAGCCCCAGGACCCATACAAAAACAAAAACAAAAAAAGGAAGAAAAGTAGAATTTTAAAGTCCACAGGTAGAAACTGAATACTCTGCTTGTCACATTCTATTAGAATTCACAGGACTAAGTCACATATGTAAAGCACTTGGCCTGAGGCAAAGTAAGCACTCATTATTTGATAATAATTCATAACAATATTGGAAGGATTCCTACATTGTCAGGGCACAGAACATCCCAGAAGTCAAACTCACACAAAGAAACCCATAATATTTTATGTACAGAGGTCAGAAAAACTTGTCAATGGGGCCTGGGAAGGTGGCTCAGTGGTAGAGTGCTTGCCTTGCATGCATGAGGCCCTGGGTTTGATTCCTCAGTACCACATAAGCAGAAAAGGCTGGAAGTGGCGCTGTGCCTCAAATGGTAAAGTGCTAGCTTTGAGCTGAAGAGCTGAGGGACAGCGCCCAGGCCCAGAGTTCAGGCCTTATGACTGGCAAAAAAACAAAAACAAAAACAAAAAAACAATAAAACTGTCAATGATAAAGTTTTATTTTAATTTTAATTTTTTTTTGTTCATGGGGCTTGAACTCTCGGCCTGGGCGCTGTCCTTCAGCTCTTCAGCTCAAGGTTAGCTCTCTGCCACTTGAGCCACAGCACCACTTACAGCTTTTTCCACTTATGTGGTGCTCAGGAATCGAACCCAAGGCCTCATGCATTCAAGGCAAGCACTCTGCCACTGAGCCACCTTCCCAGCCCCATAGACAAGTTTTAAAAAACTAGACAGTTGCCAGGTGCCAGTGGCTCATACCTGTAATCCTAGCTCACACCTGTAACCCTAGCTGAGATCTGAGGATCACAGTTTAAACCCAGCCCAGGCAGGAAAGTCCATGAGACTATTATCTCCAATAAACCACTCAGAAAACCAGAAGTGGCACTGTAGTTCAAGTGGTAGAGCACTAGCCTTGAACTGAAGATCTGAGGGACAGCACTCAGGCCCAGAGTTCAAGCCTCACAACCAACCAAAAAAAAAAAAGACAGTTATAGGTTATTTGGGGAATAAGAGCTAAACAATCAGCATATTTACCTAGAAAGTTAAAAAAAAGTCAAATTAAAAGGGAAGTAAATTCTGGTGGAATATATATGATACGTTTCAAATAACTCAGACTTCCTAAAATAATATCTATATTGACATTTCTGTTTGATTTTTGATAGGCAAAGATGGTTAAATTGTTTTCTTTTTTTGGGGGGGGGGGATCAGTTGTGTGGCTTGAACTCAGGCCTGGGCACTGTTCCCTGAGTTCTTCTGCTCAAGTCTAGCACACTACCACTTTGAGCCACAGTTCCATTTTCTGTTTTCTGGTGGATCATTGGAGTTAAGCATCTCGATGGACTTTCCTGCATGGGCTGGCTTTGAATCATGATCCTCAGATCCCAGCCTCTTGAGTAGCTAGGATTACAGGTGTGAACCGCCAGCACCAACCTTATTGTTGTCTTTTTGAGACAGATCATACATGCCATGATCTCTTTCCCCTCTGCTGTGGGTCTATGTTCTAGATAGTCATCCTTCCCAGGCTGCCACTGAGGTGGCTAGCCCATAATGGACATGTCACAAACACCCACTGAAAAGCCATGGATGTGTGCAGAGGGAAGTGGGGGCTGGGAACAACCTGGCTAATCCAGACTGATACACTTATGAAATTATCTGTGAACTACAGAATGAATAGCCTAGCTAACAATCTACATCTCAATATAAATGCAGTGATTTCAACATAATTACAAAGGGCTTTCCATGACTGTATCTAGTAAGGGACTGGGTATTAAACAGTTTAATCACAGCCTTTCATTTGCAAGACAAGGCAATTTGTTAGCACAGTTCTGCTCTACCAGCTTAACAGCTCTGCTGAAGACCAGTCATCACAGAATTCACCGTGTGGTGAACTCGAAAGAGCTGATTATACAGAAACTTTTATAGGCTGTGCTGTCACCTTGTAACTCAGTTACTCTGTCAATTATAGTGCCACAAAAGCATGGCCTCATAAACTGCCTTTAAACATGAGATGGCCAGTGAGCCTCAAATAAGACTCTCGGATACCCCCCCCAAAATAAAATACCTCGGAAACCCCGTAATTTCTTCTACCACAGTTATCTCTTAGGTTTTCTAACCTGACTCTATTGATGACTTTGTGAGATGTGTCTGCTTTTTTTAAAAGTGTTTGGGTTTTTTTTGCTGTCATAAAGATTCATTATCACTATAGAAGGAAGGGACTAAAAGTACTTTGATATGTTGATGGATAAACTTGTAAGTTATAATTGTAGAATAAAACATACCACAAAAGTACATTTTCAAAATGAGTGAGGGTTAATCCCCTGAAGATAGAAAGCTTTTAAAAAGTAAACCAGTAATTATGGACATCTTTTGAACATTACACAGTATAGTATGTTGTTAAAGAGTACACAACAAGCAAAATTTTACTTGTAGCCAAAATTACAAACACTCAGTGTTAAATTGAACCAATCTAATAAATGTTCCAGGCTTCCACATCTAGGCAGCCTATAAATTTTTCTCATTTACTTTCTTTTCTTGTTGCTATTGTTTGGAAAACACTGCTGCTTTGAACCCACTGCTTGTTCTTTAAGCAGCTTTACATTAGGAGGATAAAAGTGAGATTCTAAAACTGGCCCTCCAGTTCTACAAATTACAACACATAAACTTTAAGATGACTATTTCTTTTTGTTCCCCGTGATAATTTATTCTTACTTTAAAGCTTTCCATTGAGAAATATCTACAGAAAGTTCTGAAAAGGGTTAAAACCATATTAAGTAACAGAGTACCTGTCCACTTGTTCACAGCAGTTTGCTGGAGTAACTGATAAGGACATTAACCTGTGGTTTACAAAGATGTAACAAAAACTTGACCTTGCAAGGCCTAATATTTATAGACATCTTTCACTATAGTTTTACTATCTATCATTCTATATGCATTACCCTGAAAAATACTCCTAGATGACAATAACAATGAGAATCAATACATACCGATGAGAGAAAACAGTTCTGGAGAGATTGAGCACTGCTAAATATTGAAGGCATCCACGGAGAAGAGCTCCACAGACCTGAGGAAAAAATAGGCACTCATACTTTTAAGCATTTCTAGGTCCATGATCACACGTTTTATTAGAAACAGAAAGCCCTCTATCCCATCTAAATAGCTGCTCTGAGACCCTCCAAAGCAATACACAGAAACATTACCATATCCAGGGAACATTCTGTATTGGATAAATCCAGATGAGCAATGGCATTTGGCTGGGCCAAAAAATTGTACATGTGCTTGAAATGAAAAAACAAAAAGGAAATGTTAAAATCTAAAATATACACATCCCATAATGCAGGCTAATGTTTTCAAAGGAAATCACCATGTTTCCCAAGACTAGCTGAGAAACTACTCCCAAGCAGATTACCCGACTTTTCTATCACTCCATCATCTTCCCTGAGAGCAAAAGTCCAAATGATACTTTCAATTAAATAAAATATGTGTAACCAAATGCCAAATAGAATTTCAACTGCCAACCCCCCACTTTTTTACACATGACTTCATTTTCTTGATTGGTTCAATTTTTATTATATAATTTTGGAATGATACTAATTAATTTTAACTCCTGGGATGAATGTGTCACCTGAACTGCAGTCACCCTATCAAAATGCTAATCACTTCTAAAAATGTTAAGAACCACTCATTTGAATTTAACCAGTGGATGTTCTCAGGCTATTCTCTCTTCTGTCCAATATAATAGTTTCTCTGGCCTTCAAAATAAAAAAAAGAGGAGGAAAAGGAGGAGGAGGAAAAGGAGGAGGAGGAGGAGGAAGAAGAAGAGGAGGAGGGGCTGGGAAGGTGGCTCAGTGGTAGGGTGCTTGCTCTGCATGCATGAGGCCCTGGGTTTGATTCCTCAGCACCACATAAGCAGAAAAAGATCAAGGTGGCTCAATTGGTAGGGCGCTAGCCTTGAGCTGAAGAGCTCAGAGACAGCACCCAGGCCCAGAGTTCAGGCCCCACAACCAACTGAAAGAAGAAAGGAGGAGGAAGAAGAAGG